TGTGTAAGGTATGGGGTTTTGGGGGCGGCTGTGGGTGTGTGTATAAGTGGGGGGTTGTGGGGTCAGGGTGTGGGTGTGCTGGGTTTGTGGGGTGTAAGAGAGGGTGTGGGGACCCCCATACACTCCCCCTCATGGCCACGAGCACTGACCACTGGTGGTGGCAGCAGCAGCAGCAGCAGGGGGTCAGTGCTTTTGGCCCATGCAAGTGCTGCTGCATGGTGGTGCACAGCTCCCACTAGCACTGAACAGGATTACAAGGAGCGCAGCCTGGCTGGCCTGCCTCTATCACATGGGGCTCTGCACGGCACATGTGCAGCTCCTGGCACTTGCGTACCACTGAGGAAAGCACTGTTCTATGGAGTTGGCTGCCTTCCTCACCCCCTGCCATGCAGGTCCTAGAACACCGACAGAAGTGGAGGGGAGTCCTACCCCTTCCTTCTGCCTCCCAGCAGAGTCCCTGGACCTGCATGGCAGGGGGCGGGGAAGGCAGTTGGCTCCATTGTGCAGGGCTTCATTTGGTGGCGTGTGAGTGCTGGGAGCTGCACTTGCGCCCCAGGGAGTCCTGCATGATAGAGACTGGCCAGCCTGGTTGCGCTTTTTGCCACCATGTGCAATGCTAGCTGGAGCCATGTGCCACTAGGTGGCAGCACCTACATGGGTCATGAGTGCTGGCCATTGGTGTGGGGGACTATGTGCCATGGGGGGAATGTGTGGGTGGTCCCCACATCCCCCACCCTCCCTCACAGCCAGACCCTGCCCACCCAAGCGCCATGCTTCTGCCTCCTCCTGGGTGCAGGCTCTGCACTGCTGTTAGCCTGAGCCCCATACTATGCACTCTTGCCTAGCTGCCTCTCCCCCTGCCCAGGCCACTTTCCTACCTTGTGCCTAGGGCAAGTGGGATGCTGGGGAAACTGAGCAGGTCTCCCCGTGGCTCCAGCAGTGGTAGTAGTGGCCCAGAAGCTGCGTGCTGGTTGGGCCAGGGCCTTCTGCCCCTGAGGCTGGGAATGAGGCGCGTGGGCCGGATGGAGTACAGTTAGTTGGTGGCGCCCAGATGGCCAATTGAAATTGCCTGGCTGGCCGGATTCAGCCCACAAGCTGTATTTTACCTACGCCTGCTTTAGATATTCCTCCATCATTAGCATCTAAATCCGTGGTTCTCAGCCTCGTTAAAGTTGAGGCTCTTAGCTTTTGCTCATTTTTGGACTACAAGAAAATAATAGAGCAATTTTTCTGTTGCAAGAAATCAGAAAGAACACAATAGGTCAGAATGTTTTTGACAGTATGGATTCTTATTTGAAATTTTGGTGTTTATCTTGTGAACCATGCACAGACGTTCACGCAGCACCTTGCATCAACCTTAATACTGCTCTTGCATCCAGGTTGAGAATTACTGATCTAAACTAACATAGCTAATAGGGCTGTGTAAAATGAAATGCCCATCAACATTTCAGTTTCAAAGCTGATTCAATGTGTATCAAGCTTGAAACAGCGAAATCAAAATCAAAAGCCTTGGAACAGCTTCAAAATGAAACAAGGGCACTCAAAATGTTTAGAAAGTTTCAAAATGTTTCGAATTTCAAAGTTTCTGTTTAGCTGCAAGCAAGCCCAGCTAAGGAGAGGGAGGGGAAAGAGGGGGAAAGGACTGCTCTGATATTGACATGTATAGGTGGCCAGTGACTCTGATCCTTCTATGAGGTCCCTTCCAATCCCAGTTCTCTGGGGGAGGGATGGAAAAATAGCTTAAAAAGTTGCATGTCATGAGTTTTGCTTGTCAGCACCTTGAGCTGCAGTTTCCCAGAAACCCCTGCATCTGTCTCCTTGAAACTTGGCAGGCTTTGTGGCCTCAGCAGGGGCTACCATGCCTGCTGTTTTCAACCCCACCCCGCGTACCATCACACTTACAAGTGAAATGAGTTTTGCTCTGAACAGTTTGAGCTGCAGTTTTCCAGAAACCCCTGCATCTATCTCCTTGAAGCTTGACAGAGTTTGTGGCCTGCACAGGGACTACTATCCCTGTTGTTTTCATTGGAGTCAGGAAATAAATGACAAAGTTACAGGCATTTTCATGATTCCCCATTATAGCTTATGGGTGAAACATCGAAACACGTGAAAACAGTGTTGAAACAGTTTCGATGAAATGAAATGGAGCAGTGCTTCGAAACAGTGAAGCAAAACACTGTCCCTTTGAAATGGCGAAATGGAAGTCAAAACAAAACAGTGTAGACCTAATAGCTAAACCACAAATATGTGAAAAAAAACACCAACATGCCAAACTGTGATGAGTCAACAACAGTATTCTCCAAACTTTTTAGGCTGGAGATCATTTTTGGAATTTAAGAGGAACTGAAGATCGACCCCTGCCACCCACCCCTAGCCCCACACCTTCCTTCACCGCTGGGGCCTCGATCGCTAACCCCCCCATGGCAGTGAGGGAGGGGCAAGCTCTGCACAGCTGGGGGGGCAGGGGACAGAGCTGTGAGCAGCTTGCCGGGCGGCATGGGGAGGGGGGGCATGCAGCTCAGGGTGGGTGCGTGCCCCTGGTTCTGCACGTGGGGTGGGGTGT